CTGACCTCAAGTGATCTGCCTGTGTCAGCCTCCCAAAGTGTTGGGATTACAGACATGAGCCACCACACCCAGCCAGTTTTTTGTTGTTGTTGTTCTTTTTTTCTAATGCTGAAAGTTATCGTAAATACTGAAAAATAGTCAGCTGTAAATGGAAGAAAGTTTACTAGAATTAGTGCCAGTTTTGGCCCCTAAATAACAGCAACTCTATAAATATAGCATAAGTAATGACTAAAGATGGAAGTCGTTTAGAGAAAAAAGTCAAAAGATCACAGTGGTACAACTAAGAAAATGAATCAGCAGCATGTTATTTCTGTTAATTAAAAAATGACTTTAGTACCGGGATCTACAATTAAGATGAGGTTATATCATGTTGGAATAGTGGAGAAATCGTCTAATCATGTTCAACATTGATAGAATCACTGTTAGAATACAAGGATGTCTAATATTCGGGACCCCATAAGGCAGAAATCTGCACATGAGCAGTATCCACGTCCTCTGGGCCTTCCTTTCCCCACACCTTGCACCTCCATTTTTCCCCGGCCATGTATTGCCCAGAATGGGCTTCCGCTCACTTCGTTCACACTTAGCTGTGTTCTCGTTAAAGCTTGTTCCCATCTGTTGAGTTGCTGTTTATCACATTTCAGCCTCTGGCATCAGAGACTTCCTTTATGAAAAGTCAGAAAGTTCAAAAAAACCTGGTACAGAATCTGACATCCACGTGAATCTCCTTGAGGCTTTGAAAATATTTGTGATGATAGAAATGGGCTGTGTTAGAAAGTTCAGTTCATTATTTGCACTTTTCCTATACTTTCCTATTTTTTCCAAGCTTCAAAATAATCTGATAGACTGTCTTTGAGATATATAGTTTCAAATATTATGATTTGATCTTGTTTTCCTGAAATTACAACCTTTATTAAATGTAGAAAACATTAGATTTTCTGTATTTTAAACTATAATATTATGATATCTTGGAGCCAATTAATTTTATAAGGACTATGTTTCTTTTACAATAACAGTAAGAAAATTGTATGCAAATTCTATTTCTGTGTGGATTTATTTTGTAATTTATAAGAATAGACATCTCACAAAATGAGGTGTCCTTGTGGCTTCATACATTCAACAGGTATGTGTGGGGAGGTTTTTACATTTACAACAGGTATGTGTGGGGAGGTTTTTACATTTACAACAGGTATGTGTGGGGAGGTTTTTACATTTACAACAGGTATGTGTGGGGAGGTTTTACATTTACAACAGGTATGTGTGGGGAGGTTTTTACATTTACAACAGATATGTGTGGGGAGGTTTTTACATTTACAACAGGTATGTGTGGGGAGGTTTTACATTTACAACAGGTATGTGTGGGGAGGTTTTTACACAGTGTGGGGAGGTTTTTACATTTACAACAGGTATGTGTGGGGAGGTTTTACATTTACAACAGGTATGTGTGGGGAGGTTTTTACACAGGCATTGTAGACTCCGGAGCGATAGCAGTCATCAAGAGAGAGAAAGTCCCCATTTTCTTAGAGCACACATTCTTGTATGGAAGATAGAAAATAAGAAAATACTTATGTAGTATCATCTTAGGTACTGGTAAATGCAATGAAGAAAACTAGAGCAGTGCATGAAAGGAATTAGTTGACTGCATTATTAAAAATAGGCGGCCGAGCGTGGTGGCTCACACCTGTAATCCCAACACTTTGGGAGGCCGAGGCGGGTGGATCACGAGTTCAGGAGTTCCAGACCAGCCTGGCCAACATGTTGAAACCACATCTCTTAATCCAAAAAAAATTAGCTGGGCGTGGTGGCGGGCGCCTATAGTCCCAGCTACTCAGGAGGCTGAGGCAGGAGAATTGCTTGAACCCGGGAGGCAGAGATTGCAGTGAGCTGAGATCGCACCACTGCACTCCAACCTGGGTGACAGAGCAAGACTCCACCTCAAAAAAAAAAAAAAAAAAAAAGGCAGTATTTCATTGTCCAGGAAGGAGCAAAATAAACAAACAAAGAAAAAAGAATAGATACTATCTATTGATCTCTTATTTGGTACCAAGCACTATTGTAAATGCTACACAGAGTGACTCATTTTATGCTCCAACAGTGTTAGGAGATAAGCATCTTCATAAGAATCTTAGTATGGTCTTATTTACAAGTTAATTAGGAAGCTAAGATAGAGAAAGTTCAGGAACTTGCCCAGTTGGCAGAGCCAGGCAGGACTCACACCCATGCTGTGTGTCTTCAAGGCTCCATTTTTTATTTTAAAATGTCCAGATCATGGAACAGTCAAATGAACAGTATTATGAACATACATATACCCTTCTCCAAGGTTCACCATTTGTTCATACAGTATTTTGCTACATTTGCTTCCTCTCTTGTATCCCTTGAAAGTAAGTGGTAGCATTTCCATGAAGTTGCAGTTCATCCTTAAATATGTATATGTACCTCCTAAGAACAAGAATGTTCAACTATATAATATAATACAGTTATTTACCTCACTGAAGAAATTGAAGAGTAATGTAATACCATTGTCTAATATATTTTCAATTTCCCCAGTTGCAACTCTTAGTCACTGTGTTCCACTGCCTCCGTTGTCTTTTTCTCAGTGCTGATACTTAACCATAACTTGAATGTATGATAACACTACAGAGGGCCTTCACATTCATATCATTTTTTTTAATTGAGACAGAATCTCACTCTGTTGCTCAGGCTAGAGTACAGTGGCGCGATCTTGGCTCACTGCAACCTCCACCTCCCAGGTTCAAGCGATTCTCCTGCCTCAGCCTCCTAATGGGATTACAAGTGCCCACCACCATGCCCAGCTAAAATTTTTTGTATTATTAATTGATATGGGGTTTCACCGTGTTGGCCAGGCTGGTCTCAAACTCCTAACCTCAGGTGATCTGCCTGCCCCAGCCTCCCAAAATGCTGGGATTACAGGCATGAGCCACGGCACTCAGCCACACATTCATATCATTCTCATAACCATCCCTGATTCAATCATGATGGCAGAGACTCAGAGGACACTGTTTTTTGGGAAATGTGTTCATTGTTCTTCACCTCACAACCCTGTTCTTCATCAAGTCAGTGTGGATAACCTCAAGGAAAGTCAAAACCCAGAAGAATGATGGGATGGCACCTTAATCAAGGGCAAGTGTGAGATTATTTCTTCAAAGTCTGGCTGCCAGTCTTAGGAAAGACCTTTTTGCACTTACCAGTATTATCAAAATCAACTCAGAAGGAAAAGCTAATAAAAACGTCGCCAACATCTACTTTTGATCAGTTCCGTCACGTGGGGTATAGGTCTCTGAATATGTTTCATAAAAAGACTACTCAGTAAGTCCTCTTCCTTGTAATGGAGAGGGCTTGACTAAGCTGACATATTCCATCCTATAATTTTCAGGGCAACATTTTGCACCACGAGCCAAATCTTACACTTCGGATTTTGTTTAATTTCCAACTTTTCTTGGTAATGCCAAATACCAATACCATATTTAATCTTAACTCAAAATTCCTGTTTCTTGGAGTTGGACTTCCATCATGAGTACAACTCAAGATCACATTCACAGAAGTGTGCTTCCATATTTAAGGTACATGACAGTGTTGCCCGTTTACTCTTGGCTTTTTGTTGTTGGGCATTGTAGTTCCATACACCTGCTTATTGGTCACCACTCATCTATCTGCTTGCTGATCTCTTAATTGGAGGTGTATTGACTCTTCGTTCCTCTATAGCTCTCAAATGTCACCTGAGTTTGGCTCTTGTTCTATAAAATTTCTCCAAAACACATCAGTGAACTGAACCACCACCCAATGTAGTATCAGATCATCTTATAGCTATAATTTTATAAAGATACATTAATATCAACATCATCTATCCCCATCGTCTAGGGCAAGATGTTATTGTGTGCTGTTTTTCGTGAGTTTTCATTCACTGCAAAACATTTATTAGACTGAAGAAAATGCACCGACCTGCTTTGGCAATTGGGGCTTAAACTTGGGAAAGGACCAGCCCAAGAATAAACTCCTGATTTCCTAACAAATGAGGCACAGTTTTCCATTGTTTGCATTTGTATTTTTTTAACTTTCCCAGTTGATTAAAAAACCTTCCAAAATGGTAAAGTGCCTATAAGATGGTATCTTTGGAGGACCATACTTCCGGCAGTAATTTTCTTTTCACATTTTCCCTCGAGTTATACTCACTCCTCTCCCAGATGTACTTTGGGAAACTTGACTCAACCAGAAAGATCCTTTCACCTTTTCTTCAGACTCTACATTGGGAGCATAAGCTTCATTTTTTGAGAAACTTCCCTCCTTCCCTGGAAGAGGGGTTCTTGGTGGCTGTCATGTTGGTTTTTGGTAAGGGAGTTCAGGTGCTGGGGGACACTGATATGATTTTTTTTTTCCACCAACTCTGTCGAGGTCTAATTGACATAGCAGAAAATGCTCCCCTTAGAAGTGATTCAGTCATTTTGGTAAATTTATAGAGTTGGGCAGTCATTGCAGGAATCCAGTTTTAAAATGTCTCTGTTACCCAAAGAAATTTCCTTGTGTCCATTTACAGTTAATCCTCCAGCCCTTGGCAACCATCACTCTTTTTGTCTCTAAATTTCTGTAATGTTTTAACTAAAAGTTAAGAAGGGATTTTTTTTATCTTTCTGTATTTTACCTACAGAATCATTTTATTGATCATGCTAGGTTTTTCTTAATGAAATTGGCCCAGGCAGTGTTAACACATGGCCCTGCATGAACAGACTGTGCTCGCTGATGGTGATAAAGGAGCGTCTTGGGTTCCATTGTTTGTTCTCTTAAGTCAGAATATTTCAGTTTTGTGTTGACTCTACCATCTTTCTCATTGAACATTAACTAAAGGTAACTCTCAGCCTCATGTGCGTGTCCACTTAAGTTATATCTTTCAAGAGAAGGGACCTGAAGGTTCTGATGTCTATGAGGCTTGGCTACTTCCATAGCAGCTTGAATGATAGCAGTCATTCTTCTTTGTACATCTACAGGTACAACTTAAAGAAACCATTGAAGATCTTCCTGGTAAAATGGATACTGAATTAGCAGAATCAGGATCCAATTTTAGTGTCGGACAAAGACAACTGGTATGCCTTGCCAGGGCAATTCTCAGGAAAAATCAGATATTGATTATTGATGAAGCAACGGCAAATGTGGATCCAAGGTATAAAGCTGAAGTCCATGTAACCTTGAGTCTGCATTTTAAGTGTGTAAATGGGAAACACGGAATGATTCTGAGAAATGTTTCTAAGTACACTGTTTGCCCCAGAGATAACATTTTAACATGGATAACATTCATTCTGAAAAAACAGAGGAAGAAACCCAAACGTGTTTTCCAGTGTCAGTGATGTTATTCAGTATTCCAGGAGAGCTAGATTCCTAAAATCCACTCCCAATAATCAGTTTTAAGCAATTTAGGGGGAAGATATTTTTCATTGTTTTATGAAAATTAGTAAATTACTATATAGATTTTTTATAGAATAAGATTGTCCTAGAACATTTTAACATGCTTTTTAAAACATTGAATATATGTGATCTTTTAAAAAAAAATACTCTATTGTGTAGTAGAGCTTTTTAAGTCTTAAGTCTACTTTTCCCATCTTTACGGAATTAAATTTAACTTCTTTGATTGCAGAACTGATGAGTTAATACAAAAGAAAATCCGGGAGAAATTTGCCCACTGCACCGTGCTAACCATTGCACACAGATTGAACACCATTATTGACAGCGACAGAATAATGGTGAGTCCTTCACCTGCGGAATTCCAGTTGCTTCCAATTATGTTCACTTTTTCAGTTTGTTCCTTCCTTGTAAAACGAAACCCCTAGTAAGTTAATTTTCTGTTAATTTTGGCTCTCATTCCCAACAGTAATTCATATGCTTAACTACACCCTCAGTGCCACTAACAATATATCCAATGTATCTCTTTGCATATACTCATATGCAAAAATCATATGTTAAAAGTTTACCATGTAAATATTCCAAATCTAAGATTCAGCTTGTGATGCTAACTGTCGTACTACAGAGTAGTATCAAATAGAAGATCACAGTCATCGTCACTGTCACAGTTGTTTCAGCATGCTTGATCCCCTTAATGACAGACTTAGGTTTTTATATACTGCAAGGGGCTCATTGGGTAAGGTTGCAGAACTTCTCAGCTGTTGGGACATTCACAAGATGTGTGTCACAGGGGAAGAGATGAGAAGATCTATCACAAATTATTTTCATAGAGGGCCTAGCCAGAAAAACAAATGAATCCAACAGAAAGGATTTAACAGGAAATTTGTTACATAGGAATTGGAGGGCCTAGAAAATGAAGGGAAACAGTGATAATTTTAGGAAGCAAGGCCAGGCACAGTGGCTCACACCTGTAATCTCAGCACTTTTGGAGGCCAAGTTGGGCAGATCACTTGAGGTCAGGAGTTTGAGACCAGCCTGGCCAACATGGTAAAACCCTGTCTCTCCTAATAATACAAAAATTAACTGGACGTGGTGGTGGGCGCCTGTAGCCTAAATGTGTCATATAGACTTCTTGTTGGGATTTGCTGTTACAGCATTGGTGATAGCTACTCCTTTTATTATCTAATGCTTGGAAGTGCTGTCAACTTAGAAGGTCTGATTAGTTAGGGAGACAGCAAGCAAGGACAGAACTTGGCAGACAAATCTGTTGGTCACTCCTAAATCTGATCAATCAGCATCAGACCACATAAATGTCTAGTTCACAAGCATCCCCTTGATCTTTTAGCGCTGTTACCATTATTGAAATGTGCCCATTAGTTTATTGCTTTATATACCAATCCCTCCAGGTAGCTTTTGAGAGCCTTAATTTTTTTCTCTCTGGATTAATGTCTTTATCTAAACTCTCAACATGGTTCTACAAAGCAATTTACAGTTGGCCCCTCCCTACCTTTTAGCCTTTCCTCACTCTGTTCTCTCTCTTTCCTTTGTAGTAAAAGCCACAGTCCTTTAGTTATTGTCCTTCAGTTCATCAAACGCAGCATTCACTGTTGTGGTCTTGCCCTCTCTACACCATGCACAATGGCGGCTTAGACTATGGTGTGAGCAGTGAAGATGGTGCAATGGATGGATTTGGAGTAAATAGCAAAGTAAAGTAACTGGACTGTGCTGGATTGAATGTGAGATTTGAGGGAAGACAGGGGGAGTCAGTCCTGGTTTCTCTGTTTGGGACCTGACTATCTGGATGAAACCTGGAAGAAATAAATTTGGAGAAGGGAGAGGCGAGCATTGCCTTGGAGGATGTAACTGTTGAGATGACCTTACATTTCGGCATGGAACTTTCCTTCTCACTCCCAACTCCATTAGTATCTCCATCTATGGCGATCTCTCCAGTGATATTAGGAGATCTTCCATTTAGGGCTTCCTGGCCATGAGGTCATCAGTGACATCACAGGAAGTCCTACTAGGAGGTGTAAATTTAAGTAAGGAGTCTTATTATAAGCTCTGAATTCTTCGTGAGAACTATTTTCCAATTTTTCTTAACAGGCAATGGCAGGATTCAGCCTCAGGGAACCCAGGAGACATGCATTCTGTAGCTTGAGATTGGGAACTGGCTTCTATGTTCCCTTGACCCCTAGCTGAAAGCTTCTCCCATATTCTAGAGCTTCTGATCATCAGCCACCTTTCAATTCAGGGGAACACCATAAATACCGTTCTTTCTCAGATCTTTGATTTTGGAGGTGGTTTTTTTTCCCCCCTTGCTTGTTTGAGAGATATCTTTCCAGAAAACATGTGTTCTGTTCTGTTATTCTGAAAGCTGTGAAAACATAGAGACAAGTGAATCAGCTGCAAAGCTCAATGCTCCAGAGGGCAGGCTCAGGGAGTGGCTGGGGAAGTGACAGATGTTAATGAAGGACATAACCAACACTATTGTCATCATGCAGTCATGGAATTGCACGTGCCTAAGGTGTAATAATTACATTTTGTTGCATTGGTGAATACTTCTCCACAAAGACGGATGGATATGGTTTTGTTTACTGTAAGTAAATCAAACAAAAGGCTTGTTGGGAAACAACTGTGACCTAATTAATAGCTTTGTTTATGTGTTGACTCTCCAAAGGGATTTATCCAGTTTTGGTTCATTAAATGCCATTAATGAGTTAAGCTTAGAATTTTATTTTATGAAGATGTTCTCTCAATTTTAACTTTATTAAACATGGTGTAGTCTTAATGACAGCTAATTTAATCTTCATTTGCTCAGTTGCCACAAAACAGTAGAGCAAGACAGACAAATTAGAAATCCTCTTTTTTTCTAATACGCACCACTATCTCCACATTAAAGACAGCTTCCTCCCTATAGTTTTTAGGATTAGCTGGTTACTTGTGACCTGTTTTCCTTTCAGCCAATAGCACAGCCTTTTCCTCCAGTCCCTGCACACCCGTCCTTACAGCACTCTGAATTCTCCCTGGTAGCGTGAGTGAACAAGGAATAAGCGAATCTGCAGTTAGATAATTCTTCGGGAGTGAATTACAGAAAACCAAAACCAGGACTGAGAAATTCAGATTGTAGCTCTTTTCTTTGTAGGCGGTCTTATGGGTGTGTAATGTATGTCTTTCTTTCTAAACCCAAATCTCTTTTTAGTAGAGTTTTCTCAGAGAAAACAAATGAGAAATCGTTCTAACAGAACCAGCTGGAGAAACACAACTCAAAGCTAACTTGAGTTTTATTTAAATTCTATGTTTCATCTTCATGGAACGTCTCTTTAAGAAACTGACAACGGCCACAATTAGAACATTTCAGAAGAGGAAAAATTACTTCTTAAAAACTATGCTGAGACATTTAATTAAAGTGTTCAGGGGGACAAAGAACTAATGTGAAGGTAGAAAGCACAAACTGGGGCTGGGCGTGGTGGCTTATGCCTGTAATCCCAGCATTTTGGGAGGTCGAGGAGGGCAGATCACCTGAGGTCAGAAGTTCGAGACCAGCTTGGCCACATGGTGAAACACCGTCTCTACTAAAAATACAAAAAAATTAGCCAGGCATGGTGCCGTGTGCCCATAATCCCAGCTACTCGGGAGGCCGAGGCAGGAGAATCTCTTGAACCCAGGAGGCGGAGGTTGCAGTGAGCCAAGATCACGCCACTGCACTCCAGCCTGGGCAACAGAGTGAGATCCATCTCACAAAAAAAGGAAAAAAAGTACTAGGAGAATAAATACGCACAATTACAGAGCTTTGGGGAAGTGGCTGAGCGGGTCACTGGGACCTACCCTTCATTTTCCCCAGGTGAGAAGAATCATTTACTGTTTTAAGACCTGGGACAGGATTTTGAGGAATCTTTGCCACATGCCATAGTACCTTGTCCCAGAGAAGAGTCACAGGCACCCATTTTATGCGTGAAGGAACCAATTTCTAACATCAGATGACTCTCTGTACACCCCTTTCATCATGGCAGCCCAGAACTGACCTCTGAAATGGAAACCCTCCCAACCTCACTCTGCCTGTTGCTAAATGGGGTTTCTCTGTATTGCTTGCTGCCATAGTGAAAGCTGTTCTGAGCTTTTCTTTTTCTATGGTCAGGCTTTTTTATCCTTCACCCCGTCCTGCCCCTCCCCTGTTCCTGAGGTCACCCCACTATCAGCGATGGCGTCCTGCCAATTAAATGGATTAAATTGTTTTGCAGTTGGTTCACTTAATTTTTATATCTAGGACAGCTACCTGGAATATCTGCAGATATGCAGGCCTGATAAACACATCTTTGTTGAGCTTATGTAACTGAGGAACTGACTAATGCATTCCAGTATAATGTGTTTTTCCTTGACCTTCTGGAGAGCAGCAAGTGATTTGAGGTTTGCATTGCTGGAGAGATCCTGGGGCGGCAGGACCGACATCAATGTGTGGCTTAGTTTATAGTTTTACTTGGGTAGAGGAAAGGTGAGGACCGAGCAGGAGAGTTCAGGACTGTTTTCATATAGGTACAAAAGATAGGAAGATACAAATTCAAGATTATACCCCTTTTTCTGTACAAAAAGAAAATTCAGAGTCACTTTATTTTGTTGTAAAAGATCCAGAATCTTTGGTCAAATCGGTAAATACAGATTGAGTTCCCTAATCTGAAATCTGAAATGCTCCTAAATCTGAAACTTTTTGAGCTCTGATGTGAAGCTTGTAGGAGACCCTCATTGGGGCATTTCAGATTTTGGATTTTCGGGTAAATATGCTGGATCTGTAAGTATGTATAATGCAAACATTGCAAAATTCAAAAGTATCTGAAATCCAAAACACTTCTGGTCCCAGGCATTTCGTAAGTATACTCAACATGTATAAAGGCTAAGCGGGTAAAGTTCTATTCTTAGCATTGTTTTCCGTGTGCATCCTAACTTGGCCCTTGTAGCATGTGATTGTTTCTTATTTTCTCTTTTCCATTATTTAATCTGGAGTCATGCCTTAGCCCTCATTCATGCTGTGTCTCCTTTTCGCTTTTCTCTCTCTTCTCTATAGCCATCAACTTGAGGCATGTGGTCCTCCAAGGCTATAGCCTGAATCCTGGCATCCCTATTCCTCCTTCCTTATCTGTTTCCCAGGGCCAGCTAGACTCTTTCTCTGCTGGACCTCACTCTGTGGTCTTACCAGACTGCACCACTGGTCAGTCACCCAATCGTGCCCTGAATTTCACTTCCTTTGTGTTTAACTTTTAGCCAGTGTGCATGGGGTGCCTGCTTACACGTCATGTGCAATGCCAGGCCTTGGAGATGCAACAGTGAACCAGAGCAGTCATATAACCCTGCCCTTGAGGAAGTGATCGGTGGGCTGTCAGACCTCTTGGTGTCTGGAATGACCACTGTCCTCCCATCCCTCACCTCCACCACCATTTCTGTGTGTCCAAGTCTGTCCATTCCTCAAGGGCCAGTTTGCTATTTTCTCCTCCCTGAAACTCCTCCTCAGAAATTTTGGCCAGTGGTGACTTCTGCTGCTGCTGAACTCCCACTTGTTTTGCCTTTTTTCTGGCATTCTTGTCACTTGAGTGTTTTCTTCTGTCTTTATTTTTTATTTTTTACTTTTTTTGAGTGTAGGCTTCCTAAAAGCAGGGGCTGGGACTTACCCATTTCTTCCTCTTCCACAACATCTAGCATAATGACATGAATGCAGAAAGTATGCAATAAATGTGTGCTGAATAAATTCAGCAATTCATGAAAGTTCATTTTCCAATGTGTTCTGGCCGAGTGTCCATTGCTCATTATTAATCCTGAAACTTTAATGAAGTTTGTTTTCTTGGGCCATGTGTGGTGGCTCACGCCTGTAATCCCAGCACTTTGGGAAGCCAAGCTGGGAGGATCGCTTTGAGCTCAGGAGTTTAAAACCAGCATGGGCAACATGGCGAAACCCCGTCTCTACAAAAAAACTAAAATTAGCCGGGCTTTGATGGCGTGCACCTGTAGTCCCAGCTACTCGGGAGGCTGAGGCTGGAGAATCGCTTGAGCCCAGGAGGTAGAGGTTGCAGTGAACTGAGATCGCACCACTGTACTCCAGCCTGGGTGACAGAGTGAGACTCTATTTAAAAAAAAAAAAAAATTATCTTCCTTTTCTGTGAGCATATGCCAGGCACACAGTAACAAACTAAGTCCTGGGTGTAATAGGACTCCAATTGCAGTGGAAAGTGAGTAGGTGAATTTTTTATGCTTGTAAGCATATTTTTCTTAAAATATGCAAAGTTATTATCCAAATAAAAAGGTGTCTTAAAAAATTGACTGTTTACAGTTCTCATTGCCCATATTTTACTTCCGAAAACAAAGAAACTGAAAGTAAATAAAAATGTACCTCTGGGAACTCACATGAAGAGGGAAGAAGACAGGTTTACACCTGGGTTCAAATTCCAGCTCTGCCATCTCCTAATTTGTGCAGCCTAGGCTAAGTTGTTTAACTTACTTGCACTTCCATCTTTATCTCTGGCTGTCAGCATCTTGATAGACTGTTTCTTGCTCATCTTTAAATCACCCATTCCTAAAACAGTACTTTGGAAAAAGACATTCACTCAACATTGCATGAATGGATGGAAGGAAAGAAATTACCTTATCCATTCTATTTTGGGAGTTTGCAGTGATGATTGTAAAAGCAGAGCATGTTCAACCCATTTTATTTTCCTTTTCAAGTTCACAAACTGATATTTTAGTTATGGGGTGCTTTCATTGATTTTTATGGTAGCCATACTCTTTGTTAGGTCATACTTATATGCCAAGGATGCCATGTCTCAAATCTTGCGAATTCATCTGTAGCTATGATAATCCAGTTCATTATAAGATACTACATTTTGGGGGTTATTTTGGGTTTTTTGGGGTTTTTTTCTTTTCTTTTCTTTTCTTTTTTTTTTTTTTTTTTTTGAGGTAGAGCCTCACTCTGTCGCCCAGGCTGGAGTGCAGTAGCACGATCTCGGCTCACTGCATCCTCCACCTCCTGGGTTCAAGTGATTCTCATGCTTCAGCCTCCCGAGTAGCTGGGACTACAGTTGCACACCACCATGCCCAGCTAATTTTTGTATTTTTAGTAAAGATGGTTTCGAACTCCTGGCCTCAAGTGATCTGCCTGCCTTGGCCTCCCAAAGTGCTCAGATTATAGGTGGGAGCCACTGCACCTGGCCTATATTTTGTTTTAATGAGTATCAAAAAAGTATTAAAGAGGTCGGTTTTATTTTATATTTTTTAAGTGTGAAACCTTATAGAAGTTAAAATTTTAAGTTCTAATAAATTATTAAGGTCATGGTTCTATCACCCCCAAACTCAAAAACTCTCCTAACAAATAAAATGCCATTGCTAAGTTGTTGATATTTATAAGGCTTAAAGTATTTTGACCAAAATGATCTTTCTGTCATTTTAATTATTAATCTAATAATAATAATGCTTTTTCCTGGCTCCGCCTTTTTAGATTCTGGTCAGTTTTGAGAACTCCTGGTCTCAGTGGCATTCATGTGTTTTCAGACAATGAGAGGGAATCTGGAAAGATTATTACTAGTCACTCAAATGTGAATAAATTTAGTAGGAATTTGGACAAGGACCAAATAGTAGTAGGACTTTCTTTCCATTAAACATTATGTAGAGTCTTTACAGAGAACTCACTCGCTATCAACTCTGTGGGAATAATTTTTAAAAGTTTACTTGTTGCTTTTGCAGACTAAAACTTCATCATTTTAGAAAGTAATTTGATTCACTTATCTATTTAGTCTTTAGCGTTAGAGAGACCTGTATTTTTAAATTGCAGATTTTTTCCTTCATCATCAGGAGGAGTGGTTATGCTCTGTAATGCTATGCTTAAGGAAAATTACACATTTGGGGTATCTAAATTGGCATGCCAAATTATAGGACATTTTAATTATTATGTGGATGTGACAGATTCAATTATTCTTGAACTCTTTTGAGAAAGCTGCCCTTAGCAGTGATTCACAGTAGTAAACAAAAGATTAACAGGAAAATGCCCTTTATGAGGCTTAATAAATGTGTCCGATTAAATACCATGGGACGGAATTAACTGCAATGTCTACATGTAGGAAAACATCCTGTGTCCTGCTTGGAGGTTCAGCATATTCTCTTAAGATAAATTTACTCTAAATGTGGCCTAAATGAAGAACTAAGTGCCACTTAACATCAGAACTGTTTTCTTAGGTACGTCATTTGTGCCAATTGTTCAGACTCTTTCTTCCCTCTGAAACCATTAACCAAAGCCACTAATAAGTAGAAATGCAGAGTTAAGAGCCCCTTCCTCCCTCTTTCAATTTCCAGTGGACATATTAATGAGCAATAAAGCAGCTAAAAGGCAAGCAGCTGAAGAAAGAGAAAGAAGCAAAGAAAGGTGATTGGGAAAACAGATATTCCGCCCTCAGCAATGCCGATTGGGCTGCCTCATGTGTCATGTGGGCTGTGATCACAGGAATTTGGAGCTCAATTTCTTAATCGCTTCTTTAGTCTTATCCAAAGAGAAAATTGGATTTCTAGAGATTTCTTCTTTGCAGAGAGCAATTATGCTAAAGCTGCTTAGGTAACAGCTTTTCTGGCCAACCTTTCTCTCTCGGAATAATAAAGTACACCCAGAGCCGATTTCAGAATGCACCTTAATCTCACCATCCAGAGTTTAGCCCCTCTTAGCAGCTGACATGTTCTAGAACCTTAAAGAAATTCCAGAAGCATTTACTTCTTTTCCAAATATTGCTTAGAGTCTATGAAACTGGCTCGGCAATTAATTTACTGTCAGGTCTTTCCCATCTGTTTTTTATGACATTACCCTACCTTGTAGATAAACTGAATTTGACTTTCTTAAATCAAGAAGTTTCCCAACTCTGATCATATGTATAAATACCCTTCAATGCTGAGAGTCTGAGAGTTAAAAGCACTAAGTAATGATAAGAACCCAAAATGCCTTTGGCAGAATATAAAATGCCACAGGACTGCTGAGTGCCCAGAATAATAGTCTAGAACTTTCATTTTCTTCCTTTCCTATAACATTATAGTAATAAAAGGTCAGGTTAGGCCTTTCTTTGCTTCGTAAAACAGGGTAATCAAACCATTTAAACACCATCCAGGCCTACCACCCAAACAGATTCTCTCCCTCTCCTGCCCCTTTCCGAAATATTGTCTGTTATAATATGTTACTGCAAAACATCGTGTTTCAATGGGTTTCTTTCTGCTGATTAACAGGTTTTAGATTCAGGAAGACTGAAAGAATATGATGAGCCATATGTTTTGCTACAAAATAAAGAGAGCCTATTTTACAAGATGGTGCAACAACTGGGCAAGGCAGAAGCCGCGGCCCTCACTGAAACAGCAAAACAGGTGAGCGTGCTCCAGGGAGTTGTAATTAAAGTTTGTCTCAGCAGCTCCTTCCGCACAATTTGGCACCGTGGGTATGGTAACAAGCACTGTGTACCCTTTTCAATTATAAGCCTGCAGAGACAAAGCTTCACGACTCGGCCTTAACGGCACGTCCCGGGTTGAAGTCAGGTCTGCAAAGAGTCGGCAGAAGCGGGTAGGGGTTGGGGGGTCGAGTGTGTGCACATATGTGTGCGTGCCGTGTGCCCAAGAAGCAGAAAGGTGTTAGACCAGACTTTTTACACATTTAGACTCTATGGGTTCAGATTCTCATAGAAAAAGGCATAGAGCACATAGTACTTATGTTCTGCAGACCCATTGCATTTCATTCTTACTGATAGGCAAATGCCATTGAGGTACATACAGGAGATTGAAGAGTTTGAGCAAAAAGTGTGGGCTATTGTTTATTGCTGTAGAATGATCTACCTAGAAAATGTTCTACTTAGACCTACCTAGATTGCTTTTGGTTTCTGGTTTCTGTTTTATATTATTATTATTGTTATTATTTTGAGGCGGAGTCTTGCTCTGTTGCCCAGGCTGGAGTGCAGTGGCACAATCTTGGCTCACTGCAAGCTCCGCCTCCCGGGTTCACGCCATTCTCCTGCCTCAGCCTCCCGAGTAGCTGGGACTACAGGCGCCCGCCACCACGCCCAGCTAATTTTTTGTATTTTTTAGTAGAGACGGGATTTCACCGTGTTAGCCAGGATGGTCTTGATCTCCTGACCTTGTGATCTGCCCGCCTCGGCCTCCCAAAGTGCTGGGATTACAGGCGTGAGCCACCGCGCCCGGCCAAGTTTCTGTTTTATTACTTGTAAAGAAAACTCCTACATAATACTCTCACTGTTGCCCTGGGTTTCCCCCTCATTCTTCATTGTTTAGAATTAGGCCCATATCGCCCATATGCTTCCTCTACCTTCTATAAGATGCAATTGCCAGGCCGGGTGTGGTGGTTCATACCTGTAATCCCAGCACTTTGGGAGGCTGAGGCAGGCAGATCACCTGAGGTCGGGAGTTCGAGACCAGCCTGACCAACATGGAGAAATCCCATCTCTACTAAAAATACAAAAATTAGCCAGGAGTGTTAGTGAATGCCTGTAACCCCAGCTACTCAGGAGGCTGAGGCAGAAAAATCGCTTGAACCCGGAAAGCAGAGGTTGCGGTGAGCCAAGATCACACCACTGCACTCCAGCCTGGGCAATAAGAATGAAACTCCGTCTCAAAAAAAAAAAAAAGAACAAGATGTTATTGCCATCAGGACAAATCAAGAATTTATGATATGTTACAGTTATAACCTGAATAATCCTTGAAGTATGTTTATAAGGCATTAAAGACACGCAGGCTACATGATCACTTTCCAACAATGGTGATGTGGAAGTATCTCATTCTACGGATGCGATAACCACAGTTTGATTTAAGGGACTTAGCCAGATGTCACGTGGTCACCTGTAATTCTTTCTTAAAATTCTGTGAGGTAAGAGTTGTATTGATGGAGGGAGGGAAGGAACATCCAATGTTCTTGGCTTAGGGTGGAATGAGACTTCTAGCAGTACATGGTGAGGCTCCCATCAAAACTGTTCATCTGTAGGCATTATAATATGGGTGTGATTTTCCTTCTTCATTGTTTTCTATATTTTTCAGGTTTTCAACACTGTAGGTAGAATAAAGTTGCTTGTTTGTATGTAATATTTTAAATATCTATTACAAACAACAGAATAAGAAAATAGGGGCCAACATGGTGAAACCACATGTCTACTAAAAATAAAAAAATCAGCCGGTTGTGGTGGCACATGCCTGTAATCCCAGCTACTTGAGAGGCTGAGGCAGGAGAATCACTTGAACCCTTCAACACTGTAGGTAGAATACAGTTGCTTGTTTGTATGTAATATTTTAAATATCTATTACAAACAACAGAATAAGAAAATAGGGGCCAACATGGTGAAACCACATGTCTACTAAAAATAAAAAAATCAGCCAGTTGTGGTGGCAGACATGCCTGTAATCCCAGCTACTTGAGAGGCTGAGGCAGGAGAATCACTGGAACCCGGGAGGTGGAGGTTGGAGCAGTGAGCCAAGATCGTGCCACTACACTCCAGCTTTCGCACAGAGACACCATCTCAAAAAAAAAAAAAAAAAAAAAAAGTCCAGTCATGGTGTCTCACACCTGTAACCCCAGCACTTTGTTTGGGAAGCCAAGGCGGGTGGATCACAAGGTCAAGAGATAAAGACCGCCCTGGCCAACATGGTGAACCCCATCTCTACTAAAAATACAAAAATTAGCTGGGCCTGGTGGTGCACATCTGTAGTCCCAGCTACTCGGGAGGCTGAGGCAGGAGAACTGCTTGAACCTGGGAGGCGAAGGTTGCAGTGAGCAGAGATCACGCCACTGCACTCCAGCCTGGGCAACAGAGCAAAACTCCGTCAAAAAAAAAAAAAAAAAAGAAAAAGAAAAAGAAAATATGTTCCCATATCTAATCTAGTATTTCTGCATTAAAGATTTATCCAAGTAAAACCTAGGTTGTTTCAGTATAGTTCCTGTTTCCATCTCATTCTCCATAGAAGTGAGGAACTGTCCTTTCCACTGTCTGTAGGACATTTCTTGAATCCTGCATTCATCCTCAAAACGGTTCTGTAAAATGCCTTTGTGTGTGCACAGTATTACGCTGGGCACTAACAAATACGTTAACCATGCCCCCTAGTCATTGACAATATAAACCAAAGAATAGGAGCAGAGCAGAGATTTACTGATGTGCTGGAGCTCTGATGGCAGTGATGATGATGAGATGCAGGCATAGACAGGCACTGTGCACTTCTTATTATGCCTGTTTAAGAGGCTGAGACAGAGAGGGAAGGAAATTCCCCACGATCTCGTAGTTGGCAGAATTATAGGCAGAGTCCAGATTCAAGCCTGGCTTTAGGGTCGACAAAAACTGTGGGTTCTGAATTTTCGTAAGAATCACATTGTGTATGAATAAGAGGGAAGCTGTACTTGGAGCCCTATATTTCTTTTAAACCTGAAATTTACAGAATACTTTTATCTTCTAGAGTGTCTCCCAGCCAAAGCTTCTCATAAACCCGATCAATCATTTGGGATTCCCTGTATAACGAAGTCACAAAAGAGCCAGAACCTCAAACCTCTTTTGTTCTTTTGGTACCTTAGGCGCTTCACATCAAGAGATGTGTCCCTATCTATATATCAAAATACCCATTTAAAAATATGTTATGTATTGGGTCGGCGCGGTGGCTCAAGCCTGTAATCCCAGCACTTTGGGAGGCCAAGACGGGCGGATCACGAGGTCAGGAGATCGAGACCATTCTGGCTAACACGGTGAAACCCCGTCTCTACTAAAAAAATACAAAAACTAGCCGGGCGAGGTGGCGGGCGCCTGTAGTCCCAGCTACTAGGGGAGGCTGAGGCGTGAGAATGGCGTAACCCGGGAGGCGGAGTTGCAGTGAGCTGAGATCCGCCGCTGCACTCCAGCCTGGGCGAGAGCGAGACTCCGTCTCAAAAAAAAAAAAAAAAAAAAAAATGTTATGTATTATCAAGACATGAGTAATAAGAAATAGGTCAGGTGAATTTTAGCATGTTCCAACTAACATAAGATAATACAGTTCAATTCTTTTTGTTTTACAGATGAGGAAACTAAGGCCCCAAGAAGTAAGTGGGCCCACACTAATTTATAGCAGAGACAGAATTAGAATCTTTTTAAATCAACGCTTAATGCAAGTAACATACATGTGGAAAGGGACATTGGTCATAGAATTTGAAATCTCGATTACTGGTCCAGTAATCTTCCATCTAATTCAACAATATTAATGATCACTTACATTCGTATAGTTTTTATAATTTATTTTACACTGTTTACATAGTTCTTGCATGTATGATTCTACTTAATCCTCACAGCAGTCTGTAAGTCTTACTGTATTGACAAGGATGTTGGGTCATGAGTCCTCATGTGGACACAGAGCTGGTCCATGGAGAACAGAAGGCAGAAGGCTGATGTGTCCACCTAGGTCGTGTTCTGTGTCAAGCCTGAAAATGCTGCTCCTTGTCTCATTTGGTATCCAAGATGCAGCTAGTCGCCCAGAGATTCACACACAGTGGCAGAATTTCCTTCCTGGATTTTAGTCCTGCCTAACCGCTGGCTCAGGTCACCTCTACAGAAAGACATAAGGAAATACACAGCTTGATTTCATCCAAGTTGAATATCTTGACATTGCTGCATACACTTGGTCCTCTTAGGAGAACAAGCTGTCAGAGTGTCAGCCTTTTAAATGTGCAAGCATCAAATATCAATGCATCATTCACAACTGTAACACCATGAGGATTAGTCTAAATCAACAAGCTTTTCGCTCTCACAGATTAGAATTCATTTATTGGAAAGAAAACTCAACATCTGGGAAAAGGTACTTCCAAGTCAATGTATTCTTGACCACGTAGTTAAGCTTTCTGAACAAGCAGCAAGCAAAGCCGAGTCTCTGTTTTAATTGACCTTTTGCAGATGACTCAGAAGCATTTTAATATTTTAAATTAAACTAAAATTACATTTTAAATTACAATTACATAATTACATTTCAGGGTGCTGAAAGGTGCACTGGTTTGCTCAGGCTGCCATAGCAAAGTAGCAATAGACTAGGTGGCTTAACCCATAGCAGTTTATGTTCTTATACTTCTGTGCTAGATTCGAATAAATGTCCTACAGACAGTGGAAAGGACAGTTCCTCACTTCTATGGAGAATGAGATGAAATAGGAACTGAAGGCAACCTAGGTTTTACTTGGATAAGTCTTTAATACAGAAATACAGAAATACCGTTAGATATAGAACATATTTTCTTTTCTTTCTTTTTTTTTTTTTTTTTTTTTTTGAGACGGAGTTTTGCTTTGTTGCCAGGCTGGAGTGCAGTGGCACAATCTCGGCTCACTGCAACCTCCGCCTGCAGATGGCTGTGTGTTCACAGGGTCTTT